GCTCGACGTTGGAGAGGGTGAAGGAATAAAATGGTGGCTTTTAAATCTCAGCTCATGGCAGCCCGGCAGCCTTGCGGGCCCACAAAGTTTGTCCACCTCCAGTCCTGGAGATTCCGGAAAGGCTGCCAGGAAAAAACCCTGGTCTGCAGTTGCCCCCTGATCACCTGGCCTGGTAGAGGGGAAGCAGTGACGAGTTGTGAGTTGCATGTTCTTGAATCAGGGCTTGAAACGTGGTGGTTTTGACTAAACCCAAGAATGTAACTGCCCTTTCCCCCTTCCTTTACCTGAACCCCATTATTCATATTCAGAGCCCTAAGATGACGTCTCGCAGGAAAGAAGCTTATCGCATCACTGATACTAACTACAAAAACTCTCCCCAAAACTCTCGTCCTTTTTTTTTACTGCTAGTCCTCGAGGTTGCAATATTTTGTGAGGTAGAATTCAGTCTGCCACCTCTGCGACCCTCTGGGCTGAGTGGTTTCTAGTCCTATTTCTTCCGCCAGCTGCAGAAAGAGGCTGATGGACAGAGTAATCGTAGCTGGGAAGCTAATTTGCAGGTAACGCTCACCTCTGCCAGGTAAAGAATGCAGAACCTCAGATCTTCGGAGGAATCTGCAAGAGAAGTAGATTTAAAGGGGTCATTTAACCTTCTCGGATTTGACAAATGAAAAAAATACTTTTTTTTGGCCAAGTGTTCAGTATGCCGTCGTTGTTTCCATGGAAAATGAGAAAGCTGGAAAACACAGCATTTCTAAACTTAAGGAGCTCCAAACAGGAGCCCTGGAAGCTGCCCTAGCCAACTGGTGAGCCCGCTGAGCTATCCAGCCCAGCCTTCTCTGCTGGAGACACACCTAGGAAACGCTCCCCTATGGATCAGGTGGACATAAAACATACAAAACTACTTGACAGCAATGCCTAGTCTCCTCCTTCATGGAGGAGCCCTTCTTTTCCCGCGGCTTCTGGACTCACCCTCTTGCAGCCGCACATCCTTCAGGTAAAGCGGGTTGCGAAAGACGCTACATCGCCCAGGCTCCTCTTCCTGGGTGAAGAGCAGTAAGTCTGAATAAATGAAGAGGGTCACCTGGACAAGGCAGAAAGAGAAAAGGAAAATGTCTGCCAGGGACCAAGTACCAAAACGGGGAAGCAAATTAATAACCGTTTCTGCAAATCGATTACATTTGGTTTCGTGTACCAGCCATCGTTTCAAATCTCTTTTGCTCTCTGTGCCCTGACGGGGACCGGCCTCTTCCCCGCTGCAGAGGGGGCTTCTTGGAGTCACCCCTTGGCATCTCATTTTGGAGCTTCTGGGCCTAGAAATTCCCTTTGCAACACAGCTCCAAAAACTTCCCAGAATTTCAAAGATTATCACTGTGGGAAGAAAAACTAAGTCTAGACAGGATGTGGCTGAAACTAGTCGAAGGTTTAGGGAATGGACATTTCTGGCCGAGTGCCACACAGTGCATGGCCAGCTGCCCCTTCCCTTTTAGGTGGGGGGGAGGGGAAAAAAGTATGATGTTATCACACTTCTGAGCAAAATTCTGGAAGCAGCTTCCCTACAACATACAACAATACAGTGAAATCACTCCAAGACCACCAGACGTTGCAACCTCGCCGACACATTTCGGCCAAATTCAGGAATTACAGTAGCAGCAAAAAAAAATGACCACTTTTTGGTTCAGAAATGCTAGCCGAGGAAAAAAAAAAGACAAGCCATTATTGGAAACGAGGAGAAAAGAAAGGAGTTTTGCTATTCCAGATCCTAAAGTCACGTTGTTTACTTCAGGCTTCAGGATTGAGTTTATGAGCTAAAATCTGTTGCACTCTAGCCTCTTCCAGCACGGGTCCCATTTGTGGGATCGCCGACAGGGAGCCTGCTTGGATCTTCTTCTCCCCAAGGAAAAGCTACACAAGAATCTACGGGTCGGCAGCGAAGTGAGCTGGTGACCAGATTCATTCATGCCTCCAAAGATCACACACAGCTTTTTTTTAAAAAAAAAAAAAAAAAGAGCTGACTTCAAATCAAGAGACATTGGCAGGGCTGTCTGGTGCATGTCCACCAGGAAGCAAGCCCCGACTGTGCCAGTACACCCCTCGCCACAGCAATGTGGGTGAGGTAACACAAACAGCATCTCAGCACACTGATTAGCCACTCAAAAGGAAAACTGGTAGCGGAAATCAATCCCTAGGTGCAGCAAAGCACGGGAGTTCAAAAGCAAAGGTATTGAAACTGCAAGGTCTGTGGAAATGGGAGTGTGAATATGAACCACCGCTCATATTTCAAGGGGAGCCTGAGGGGTTTTGGAAGGAAAAGCAGGAGCCCCTGAGATTGTAGAGCAGCTCCAGAAGGGGACTGTCCCAGCCAGGCCATTTGAGAAAGCAGCAGCAGCAGTAGCAGCACTTCCAATGAAAGGCCAGGCCTGCACAGCAGAGAATCAGGATGACCAAAGGGGCAGTGCCACTTAACAGCAGGTCTGACCTGGCACCAGGGCTCTGGAGGGTTAGGGTTAGGGCAACCTACTAGTCCCTATGGCCAAGAAAGGCCTCTGGGGAGTCTGCTTCTCAAGAGAAGCCCGGGGGTTAAACCAGAATGGAGAAATTCCTCCGTTTCTGTATTTATCTGTAAATTAAATAAATTATTTGGCTCCATTAAAAGATTTCTATCCTCACCACATCTCAGCATTTGTTACTTTGAGTAAAAACATTGCAAATAATTAAGGGGGAAATCTTTGGAATTATTCTCATTAAGATGGAATTTATTGAACAATGAAATAAGAATATGTGATGAAATGGCAAATATGACAGATAAAAGTATAAGAATATAGTGACTATAGAATAAGAAATAAAGAATTTTAAGGTATCATATAAAGAAGATAGGTATAATTAAAGAAAAATATAATATGTTATATGAATTAAAATTGGATAAAATAAAAGTAAAAAAACATCGGAATACTTTTTGAGAATTTATAGAAAATGGAAAATACAATCATATAAGAAACTGAATATATGAGGTAGATATGTAGTTATGGTCATGTTTGTATGGAAATGTAAAAACCTGGAACCACGCTGTTCACTAAAAGAGATGTAAAAGATTAAAAATAAAAAACTTTTGGGAAAAAACATATTGCAAATATCAATTGTGAATATATCACAAGCTACCCCTAACAATCCCGAATGCCTTGTGCCTTCTGAGACTGTGGCACTTCAGACAGCTCCTGCTGGATTCTCCTCCCTCGCCAAAGAGTCAGTATTAATAAATACCATTTCCTAGATGCTCCTAGATGCTCACCTCAGTTGGTTTGTTTCGAGTCTCATGAAGAAGCAGCTCTTCGGATAAAACCAGCGTCCGAGCTGGGCTGCAAAGGTCCAGAGGCTAGTGGAGTAAGAGAAAAACACATACAGACACACAACTCAGAGACTCTGACGAAGAGAAAACTCTACGGACAGCTCCATCCATTTATTTCTGCCGCAAGCCCCGACAACCAATGGAAAGTCCAGAGTCCAGAACAAACAGGGAAGCCGGCAGGTCACGCAATAACTATAAAAAGAATTCACTTTTTGGAGATGCAGTGGTCAGCGTTTTGCTCTTCCACAAAATCTTCAGTACACATTGAGTGCGAGGAGCAGTCGGAACCATCCTGCTGTGTGGCTGAGTAGGAAAACGTTGGCGGAACGGCAGGAGAAGGGAGGCACAGAGCTTACATGCCCACCTGGGCATCTCTGTCTGAGACGGGGACTCCACGCCTTCCTTCTCGGTGCTGTAGCTCCCCCAAGGCCACCCTCCATGCCTAGCCGGAGGAGGAAGCTGCCTGGGGGAGCTACACTGGGACTGAGCTGACCAGGACTGTCATGGCATGGAAGACAGTCCAGCCTCTTCCCAAAGGTCTCTGAAAGAGGCAGGGCTTCTTCGCAGGAGCAGCGCCCTTTCAACGGAGGCAATACCGGTTGCCCTGCATATCAAATTTTCCCAGTTACCTTCTGCCACGGTGTTCCTGCTCAGGGCTTAACTCTCACCTGGCCTCCCGGGTATCTACTCCCATGTGCAAACTCTGCTGCTTCAGCAGAGGCCCAATCAACTGGCATTAATCATGGTAACTGCACGGTATCTCCAGGGTCTGCATGCCACTGAACACCAGCTGCTGGAGGCTGCACCAAGGCCGGGTCTAGTCACTGCCTTTTTTTTTTTGTTGCATGAACAACAGTGCGTACAAGCTACTCGACAACGAAGTGACGGTTCTCACTGGAGAAGGAAGGCGAGCTAAAAATCAGCAAGAATCCTGCTTCTCCTTGCTGGTGAGTTTCCTGGGGGCCATTAGGGGAAAGGAAAGGCTTGGCTGGGTAGGCCGTGACTGGTAATGCTTTGCGCCCTGTATTTCCAGGGACACGAAGTACCACAATCCTAGTAAGTCGTCAAGCAAGCCTATTTTGTAGGGGACCTGGACTCCGAATCCGACGTCTAGGAGGGTGGCGGGAGACCTGAGGCAAGTGAGGACAGCTGGGCCAGAGAGAAACACACAGCTGAGAGAAAAGTTAACTTCCCAGGTGTGGAACCTTCTGAGACTCACCTGCACGAAGATGGGGAACACCAGCACTTTGGGAGCGAGCGTCACATAGGTGCCATAACTGGAGGGTGGGATGTGGGGTGCCATCAGAGGGCAGCTCTGGGGGCTGCTTCCATGGCTCTTGATGGTTTGCACAGTCTTCATGAGCCGGGATTTCTTGCCGCGAGATTCTCCTTTGCACACGTTGCCTGGAGGTTAGGAAC